GTCTTGTATCGGCCTACTAGTTAAGCGTATTGTGGCCGCCCGGCTACATCGCCAATCGAATCAATGGTTTCCGCTTCCGTACGACCTAGTTTCGTTCGCCTCTGCCTAACGGCTGCTCTAAGAAAAACCTACCGAACGGTTGCAAAAAAAAAAAAAACGTTTGCGAAACGACTTCGGTATAAGGAAACGCTATTATAGTATAATATTGCTAGCCGGATATAGGCCGAACGACGATTGGCTGGACCGTTTTACACGTGCCGAAGATTAAGTGTCATGCTATTCAGTGTAAAGCGACAGTAATGAAGTCTAACGCCAGCGTCCATCCACCGCGTACGTTCTTTGGTAAAATGTGAGCTAGCAACTATAAAAAAAAAATTGTTAAGTAAAAAGCGCAGGGTAAATAACGAGAAAAGTCACTTATTCAAATCTGAGAAAAATATGCTCAACCCATTAGTAGTGGTATCGTATTGAAAAACACCAATATGGTAAATGGTCAGGTTTTTAATTTATTTTGTAATTCAAAACGTTCATTTCACTACCTCGTCCAGGAACGCTTTTGATAGGGTCAGCCATATAGACCTTAGAACAAGCCAGGAATGTGAGATAATGACTATTGAACGTTTTTATCGAGGTATGTTAACGATTCTGATTAACACATTTTGAAAATTGTCGACACTTAACAAAAACAAATGATTCACAAAAGTACCACTATCGGTGAAATGACTCTGATATTATGATCTGGGGTTACTCTGTTTGGTAATATTAACAGGCCAAACGGTTTTCGTCGATACCGTCGGTATTATAACACGGCCAATACATATTTTAGACGTTATTAAATACACGAATACATTTAACTCTGTTTTTTGTTAAATTACAATAGTATTTCGGTACATGTTTTATGACGAATTTGTGTTGTATTGTTGACCGAACAACGTCAATTGGATTGGAACTGGCGAGAGCACGTGTGAGTTATGGTTAACTTTCAATATCACGTACGCTGTTTTGCGATTATATTACACAAACATAATCTAAATGCGGAATACAAAAATACAAAATGTGAAAAATATCGACAGCCCGTGTGCGTATGTCGGAACATAATTTATCACAAAGGCTTATTTTATTTATTACACGCCGTTTAAGCGACGCCGCGTTCGGTCTTACCGAAAGGCTTTTCGATTTTCCGTTTTAAATGGTAAAAAAAAAAAAAAAATACCGGAAACCCCATTTGACGTTTTAATTATAAAACTCAACAGAAACAACATGTGCACACACAAAGAGGTTTTTGTGTACCATAATATGGTAGTACTCAAGTCATACTCAAGTACAATTTTTGTTTGTTTTTTTTTTTATGTTAGAAAATGTGATGGAAGTTGTATACATGACATTGAATTTGTCGTTTACGATACGTTTTTTGAAATCTTTGTATGTTATTTTCTCCGCTTCACAGATATACATTTAAGCATTCAAGTTTTTAGTTTGCCACCAGAATAGAGTTGGTTGGGTAAATATTTTTTTAAGGTTTTTTGGCGACCTTGTGACATTTTCTTCCGCACCCACCATAATTTCGAATTTGTCTGGAAAGCAATTTATCATAAGTGGTGGTGGGTATTGCAAGGCTTTTCGTTTTCTGTTTTGCATGGCAAAAAAACACCCCCCCCCCACCCATTTCATGTTTAAATTAATACACTTGTTAAGACCAATATGTCAAGCCGCGTGCGACCAACAAATTGGTTTATGTGCGTTGTTATGCGATTGTACACACAATTCAACTAATTAACTGCAAAAATTTTGAAACCTCTTAAACGTTTTTTTTTTTTAAATTCGTACACGACCACTTTGTCGGACGGTAATAATGCCTATCAAAAATCGATCCGAATTCCATAAAAATATAAAGTAATAGATTGTTATGTTGGCGAGCGTGTGCAGCTCTACGGTTTATTTGTATCGTATACCGACTATATACGAGCAGACGATGTCGTAAAATATAATATATACGTGTCTTTAATGAAAAATCAATAACTCATAATTTTAGACACATACACACACACACCACATAATATTTCTTTTTCAAGCAAACAGGACGCATAAATCATAATAGGAAACTGTAACAGTGACGCAAGAATTATTTTTCTTAAGTGGGGGTGATGTATATATTATAGTGAGAGTAGTAATAAGTAACAAACTAAACAAACAAAATTATAAACAGTTTTTCGGTTTAAACTCATATTTTAATAATACAAATATAAATATAACTATTTAGGTACATCTTTTTCTACATTTTTGTTAGCACCTTATAAACCTTTAATTATAAGATATATTTATTTAAAACAAGATGCCGAGATTTAGTCTGCCAGGGCTGAGTAAAATAATCCCCCTTCCCCATTCCCATCCCCACCCGCATCCCTCATCTCTAATCTCTAATCTTTTATTTAATTTATTTACATTTCGTATTTAATGTACAAAGTTCGTGTTTGAGGTCATCTTTAAGGGTGGAATTTTCGAAAAGTACTATGCCAGTTAGGTTCGCGAGAGTGGACTCAACAACTTCCCAAAGTTACATGGCGATCGGATGTATGGTGTACTAATGCATAAAGGACAAACAGACATTCATTTATATATATATATATATATATATAGAAGATATGTAATTACATAATATTTTGTTTTTGTTTTAAAAAGTTAATAAAATGTTTACGTTACTGTTTAAAAATCTTAAGCTCACAAGGTCTTAGCACATAAGTGATGGGGTTATGTTTTTAAAAATCATATCAAAATTCGATTAACTATATTAACTAATTGAGTATAGAAAAGAATAATTTTCATAAAACGTCTAATTTCTTCTGAGATACTGAACAGGGATCACCACTCGCCATGTATAATGAAATTGCTTTCTTCTTTTTCTTTTTTTTTTTAATTATCGCATCAGGAAAAGTCCATAAATCAATCTCCGGTTTTGCAGAGGTGGCCTCGAATTAATCAAGTGTAGGTTTTCCTCGCTCAAAACTTTTATCGAAACCCACTCTGCTGCCGGAGGGCACGCGAAACCACTTTGCCGAAATATATTATATCTGTGCATATCGTTTTGCCACAATCGGTTGAACGCGACTCTTTGACGTCGGATTTATATGGCTGGAGAAAATAAAAACAAGATTTTTATGTGTATATACACTGTATGATATAATATGCACTGAATTCCGTCAGTCGGAACGTATAGCTGATTTTTTGTCCGCCAACAATGTTTAACGTCGACCGAGAAAAATAAGGTTCTCGTTGGTATTCCGATTCGCGTGCGTTTTTATTTTACAACCCTTTATTTGATTTTCTCAACAGTATCGCTTTAAGTCATAATATCACATCCAGTCGAGCGCAGTGCATCGTTCGAATAAGACACGTTGAATCATCTAGGTAACACATTGTTAGTGTGTTTTTTTATTATAGCTCAACAGTTACAAACAGTGTTTGGTACATTAATGATAATATGAACTAAATGAAGTCAATACAATTGAATAGAAAAAGGAAAGAACAAATTTTGAAGTTTTGGAAGCGAGAAGAATGCTCGACTGTTTTTTCCTATTTAGAAGAAAAGACTTGTAAATAGGTTGACCTTTGAAATTGGCGGTGTTATCGCTGCCGCATAGAGCGCATTTGGCAGAATACATTATTCAAGTAAAAGTTTGAACATAATAATTATTATTCGAGTAATAATTTATAAGAATTCAATTATCCGAAAAATGTCCAAACAAATTATTTAAACAGTTTGTGAGTGTTTTTTAAATTATTTATTATAAATAAACTATATAATAAAAGTGCAAAATAAATTAAACCAGTATATTTTGTGGGAAAATAAATTTTTATTAGAATAACTTCAAAAATAATATTTTAAATAAGATTATATTCGAATAAGAATTGGCACAACTCTGATCTCATCGAAGTCTATTGGACGAGACTTTGCTTTTAGAAAATATGCTGTTATAGTTCACGATACGAATTTTTCGGTCGGATTAAGTTGTAAAGATTTTTATTTTAATTAAAACGTTTTTCGGAAAAGTACTAAAACAATAATTAATTTTCTTCGTTATTTGTAATCTTTTTTTTTTTTAAGATACACAGAGAGTAATAAATACATATTAGGTATCCTCGAGCGTATACACATAAATCGCATAACAATTATTTTCAAGAAAAACTTTAAGCAAAAACAGTATTATGAAATAATTATTTTCATTTTTTTCGTTATTATTTTTTTCCAATAGAAAAAATTAGTAATATAGAGAATTTAAAAATTCTACGGGATGATCTGGATAGCTGTATAATGTGTTGTGTTTTGTATGTCAAAAATACAAGTAGTGATTGAATCTATGAACCGTAATGATGATGACGTATAATCGTCGTTGGCTAAGAGGTCTAGAGTGAAATTGTAAAGGATAGCCGGCCGGATGAACAAAATTATAACGGACGAAATTATAAAGAACCCATTATTTAAGTTTAACGTAGCATAAAGTTGATCAGAAATCTTCTAGCCGGTCCATCTTTGCGTTGTTAACTGTTAATGGCAAGGAAAACGAGAGAAAACTAGAGGAAAAAAATAAAGCGAAACAGAAAAATACAATAAAAGTACGGCATAACAGGAGCTGATGTATTAAAGTAGGCCGTGTAGATAAGGTGACTGACGATAATGGGTCAACGCTAAACTTGTGTTGGGTTCTTGAATATAAAAATAGAACAATAATTGCACGTTTTATTTTCGAAAAATTGTCGTAAAACTTTATATCGGTTGCATCTTAATATATTTTATGGACTATTTATATGAAAATAAAATTATAAAAAACGTTGCATCGTTGTTTTGCGTTTAACGGTTTGGTTTTTTATTTGTCAATATAACTTTCCGGTACATATTTATTACTGCGTTCAGTAACAATAAAAACAAAAAAAGGTTATTCCAATATTGGATTAGACCGATTTTTTTCCAAAGTTATTACTAACAGTTTATAACAATTTTACAGGTGATGGAAAGCAAAATTCAGTTCCCAAAGACGACGGGAAAACGATGAAAAAACCGCCGACGACCGTTCAAACGTCCACATTATCTACTCTGAACGTTACAAACGCAACCGTGACCAGCAGCACTACAGCTGTGGCCGACATGTCGAATACGACACACAACAGTGTTTTGGACGACCTACAATTACAACGGTCTCTGCTCAAGCCTAAGTTCTTGACGGAAAACTCTTCCACGGTTGTCGCCCAAACCGGAGCCTCCAGTCGGATATCGTGTCTGGTCGCAAACTTAGGAGACTGCGTGGTGAGTTTATAACTATAATAATTCTAAAGATTATAATACTGACAACATACCGTTTAGAAATTACTGTAAATGGTTCATTTCACAGAAAGTGCAAAATATGAAATATTCGTGTCGATGTCAAATCGTTGTCATTGTTTTTGGTGTAGTTCAAAAAATGTTAATTTAGGGTGTACTCAGGACGTCCAAAATGTGTTAATCAAAATGCCTCAATAAAAAGGTTTTAAAAAAATCAATCAAAAGCCATTCCCTCACAGCCCTCCTTGATATCTCTAGCTGACTCTTTCAAAGCCCCTTCATAGACATATAGTGATAGGTCGCTTGGAAAAAACAACTAACAACAATAATTTTAAAAAAATAGGATGTCCTCGTTAACTTCGCCAATAAATATAATATTAATGACAATTTTGATGAGTGATATCTCCAATTATTTGAAATTTCTCGTCGTTACTTAAAACGTTTATTGTAAAAATGGTGTAACTTCAAATATTTAAAATATACAATTTTTTGCTGAATGGAATCACATATATATATTTTGTTATAAAAGAGAAACAACTCCAATAAACGCAAAAATAAATAAAAATTAGAAAACACTGAATTGAACGTTAATTTACAAGAAGCTCATTATTTCAAAATTCAATTACAAAGAGATAACTACACTTTTACAATGAACGACACAAATATTAATACAAGTCTTAGTACTTCCTTATAAATGTATGATATGCAATGGTTAGGAATTTATAATAATTAAGCAGCTATTTAAATATATTTTTAGAATAAACAACAAAATACATTTTTTCGATTATCTACATAAAAAAAGTTGTTTTATATAATTTTTTGTTCAGTGCATTTTTTTTATTAAGCAATATGATAACAATAAAAATTTAACTATCACATTTTCTACAATACATTTAATCTATACATAATAATGGTACACTAGTTTTTATTATAACTATACACAAATTACACCATTATTTATATATTTAGTATGGGAAAGAACATATTATTAGTTGCAAATTAAAAACAAAACATTCAATGTAATAATGTTTATAATAAAATTAATCGTATATACTTATAAATGCAATTTTAAGAGTACTCCGACGGTTCCGGTTGATTGTTAAACTGTTTTTATAATACCAAGACATGCGAGTACTATGTAGAATGACTGACTGCACTGTTAATTATGCAGCATGTAATGTGTATAAGTACTTGAGTAAATTACTCTCGGGGTGCGTATAACCATGTTAACATAAATCGTACAAGCTCTACTGCGACATTAAGTTAAGTAGCAAAAACCTAAAACGAACAGTTATTATTATCATTATTAATTTATGCGGAAAATTAACTATCAGTTTTCATAAAATTAAAACGAACAGCCACTCGAACGCTTAAATCGGTCGTTTGACTGCTTTACAACTGCTTTTGCAGTAAAACAAATAAATACCTGTCATTTAAAGTTTACTGTAAGTTATTCAATACAAAATAAGCGCAATAGAATGTCGAATACTGTTGTTTTGGCATTGTTCGGCACGGATGACATAAAGTGCCAAACGAATAATTAAAAAATTGTTCGAACGACAGAGTTCAAAGCAATATTGTATTGTACACAGCTTTGAATATCCGATTTAAATATCTAAACACATTTTGTACAATATATAGTTGGAATTATATCAGTTTACTCAAAAATAGTTTGGCGGTTATATTTATAACCATTTTCAACAAGGCCTCAGCGTCGTAAAGAAACCCAAAAAGTTGTTAAGTTTACACAACTCAAATTTCAAACCTTTTTTCATTCATGCCCGGCCTGTATTCTGCATTCTGTTTATTCTTTATACTATTGTATTGCGTACTTGTGTGATTGTAAACAAATTTTATTACTTATAATGTGAAATGTAATATTAACCTTACTTAATGTGACCCAATAGCCAGAAATTCTGTTGGTCATAATAATAATAATAATAATAGAAAAATAAAAACAAGCATCTTATTTTTCTTTAATGTCTGTTGTGTTCGATACTCATTTAATGATTTTATAAAAAAAATAAGGTTTTTTACAAAATCGGGAAAACACAATTCCTTTAACAATCATTAAAGGTACGAAACTGCATGTTTGTACTTCCATTATAATACGGTCAATGTAAAAAACACTAACGTCACAGACAGTTCACAATAATTAAAGTGAATTGAACGGATTTGATTTTTTTTTTTAATGTGAAACTTAGGTACTAGTTGATTGATTTAACTATTATTAAATAAGTTGGATTTACTAGAAAAGCTATAAAAAATTAAAACTATAAATGCTCATAATACAATCTTTAAAATAAAAAATGGTCATACCTAGTTATACCAAAATTTAATTGTAGCAATGAATATCGACACATTGAAAGGGGAAACACAATGTAGATTTTTTTTTTAACGGGGGTTGTGGTATTCGTGTTATATTAATAAACTTTCATGAATTTTTCCTAGGACGTTGAAGTTTTCCTTTGAACCGAAACTTGTATGACCTATATTGGAAGTTAGTATTTTATTAGGTACTTCGTATTGGATAAAGCTTGGAGCACTCATTTAAAATATTTTTTTTTTTATTAAAAATAAGAATTTTAAACAACAGTCAACATGTAGCTGTAGTTAAAAACATTAAATACCTTTGGTGAGAGGACGACGTCATAGAAGAAATGGCCAGTAAGACATAACCAGTCATTGCATTAACTTGTATTACTTTCAAAGAAAAAGACCGAAGTTGAATAATATTTTTTAAAAATTTAGGCAGAAATTTTAAATTCCGTTCCGTTCATTTAAATAATGGAAACGAAACTAATTGAAGAGTGGCTTTGACTGAGCAAAATTAAATTAAATTTTAATTATGCTCTTCAAAGCTGTTGTGAACTTCCCGTTTAACATTGCAACTGTTTGTGTTCTGTTAGTGGTGGACAGCTGGTGTACACAAAAAAACACGATAAAAAATAGCAATTATACATATTGTGTTAATTTTCCATTTTTGGGATAAACTAATTGATAAAAGCTTCATGCGCATATTATATACAAACGTTATTACATTAATAAAACACTCAAATAAACGGCATACGGACTTTTTTTGCAATTAACACTTTTCCACTTCACCATATATTTTACACTTTGCTTTGTGATTATTATTATTTTTTTTTTTTGTGTATACCCCTCGTCCCACTCACGTGACAGTTGTGTCATTCTTTTTTTCAAAGTACGCTTGACGATACTGTAATTAATTTATTAATTAAACATTTGCTATTAATGTTATAGCGTTCAATTAAATGCAAACTTAAACTGATTTTTCGCGATGACTAACAACCTCAAAACAAACTACTGTGTTTATACACAAGTCGTTGTGAAGTCAGTTAATAAAATTAAAACGGTATTGTGGTGTTTTCAGGTTTCCTGGATTCGAAGACGGGATTATAGACTACTCACAGTCGGTCTATCAACGTACACAGAAGACTTGAGGTTTCAGTCGTTACATCACGTTCAGACAGGGGTAAGTAATTTTTTTATATTATTTTAAAAAGTTGTATTTTCTCTATAAATAAACTACGTTGGACGCTGGCAAAATAATAACTTTGTCCAAAGAACATACGAACAATGCACATAGTTATACCGGAATGAGTAACATTACAAAAAGTGTATGTAAGAGAATATTTCATCCCAGAAACTTTTGGCCTGGAGTTGATAAAAATATATACCCACACTACTGTTCCAATTGTCTTATGTTGCAAATCAAATATTTCAGATCAAAAACATTAAAACGATTTACGAATAATGTTGGTTTTAAAAACATTTCTACAACATAAATATCTTTTAATCGATATTTGTTACATCAGGTTTTAAATAATGCTTACAGTTCAATATAAAATGTGTTAAAATAACTCTTTTCTTAAAACATTACCTGAGCAGAGAAGGTATTGGTTTTACATTGATGTTTTGTTTTGAACCAGCTCAATTGATTGCCTAGTGTAAACTTTAGTCTATAGATCAGAAATCATACTAAAATGTGAACATTAATGGTCAAACAATTTAGTACGTTAAACAATGATTCGTACAACTTTTAATCAAATAATATGCGTGTTATCTATTTGACTATTTTGAAAACGTTTTATTTGAATGATGCATAACTCTCGTAAAAATGGTCAAATTAGGTCTAAAAATAAAAGTAGTATTCTTAGATGGATGGCATAATATACACAGTTAATATAAAAAGATATCAAAAATCTATTCTAATATTTTTTTTTAATCAGAAAAACACCCCGAAAAGGGGAAAGTTAGTCTTATACCGTAGTCAATTTTTAAGTTGCTACAAGAAAGTGAATCATCAGTCAACAGGTATTAGAAATTTATGTTATTATGATAATTTCGGGGTAATAATTTCTATAGGCCTATGACCTCCCCCCCCCTCAATATGCTCTGTCACCACTATGACCCGTAAGGGGGTTTTTTTTGTTGTTAATTTTAAACAATATTATTTTGGTTCATTCATCAGATTTCTTTTGGGCGTTCTTTGCGTATGTTATTTTTGTGTGGTAAAGTAAAATCACGGTCGACACGCTTTTTCGCTACTTCTTGTCGATGTACGTGCGTTGAAAACAAATAATTGGGTGGGAAAAACATAAAGGCACAGAGTTAAGCCTCTCGGTCTTATAGAACCATAGCTGATAACCGCCGGACTGTGGGAGGAAAAAAATCGTAAAAATTTGTTTCTTTAACTCTGCGGCAAACGTTGGCGGTGCATATTAATGTGTTCGCACCAGAAAGATCCGGCCAGAAACGTAAGCTTTTAATGTTCACACAAGCTCTAGAGAACTTTTTACATAACGGCTATCGGTCGAAACTAGACTTGGAAATTTATGCGGAAAGCCCACGCAAAGTGGTATGTCTTGTGGAAAGTCCCAAGTAAGCTCAGAACAGAAAAAAAACGGTCGAACTAGTTCCAAAACTATATGAAATATTTTTTTGGATAATATACAAAAATATAAATATCAAAAACCCTACCCCCCAAGGGTAGAACCTTTTTTTGACGTGGAATATTTTTGGACTCAGGGTTATCACATAACTTGCGAATGGACGATGAGGTGAGCTTTAACGTCTAAAAATAAGAAACAAATTAATCACATTATGGTTTTTACAATTTTTTAAAAAATTTTACTTACTAAATACTCAGACTATGGTGTGTTTTTAGCTGATGAACTAAATTTATATGTTTCGAATACCATAACAATGAACTTTTGCCCGGTCGTTTCTTATAGTCTCTTTGCGTTTCCCGTAGTAGTGTTAGCCTACAATATTTGCCACAACGATTCGTCAACCGTTTGACAGATGGTACTAGAGCCGGACAGAGCTCCAGATGCGACCAACAATTTGTCTAAGGTCGTTGAAGAGCGACGGGGGACAAGTAGAGTATAGTAAGAGAAAGACGAACGCGTTTTAATTAATTTATACAAAGGCCGTTGCTGGGACTTTGTTGGAAAAAAATGAACGAGCGGAATTAAATCCCAAACACTACGGTTATGGTAATTAAGCCATGGCCATATTTTGCCGAGTTATTAAAATATTTATAGAATAGAACGAAACGAATGTTTGGAAATTAATTTAAGCTCTCCGGGGAGGGTTGGGGGGGGGGGTTGGTGGTCGAGGAAACGAATTATGAAATCAGTGAAATTGTTCACGTGTCGACGAACCTAGTTTCCTGCATTGGTATCCCAACCTAACGGAATCATATACAAATACTTGAACTTTGATGCACAGCCGAGAAGGTATTGTTTTTGAATCGCTCAACTTCAAAAAGCACCGACATTAGAAACACATGTAGGTATCCCAATCGATAAAAACTAATACTACAATCCCATATACCGTTGAACCGATGTCTTCGTGTAGCGCAGTAGTACTCTCACACATGGAGCAACTTAAACAATTTTTACGGCCCAAGTAAAATTATCCCCTTCATCTTTGGATGATTCTGTAATACGTAGTAGTTTTTGTATCAGCAATAATACCTCACTCGTCCCAAATGTGTTCTCTGAAAATGGTATTTGAAATGGATGACAATAACATAGTACACACGGTAACTTCTATGACGGGACCGTACAGGATGATCCATCTATCTAATCTAATCTAACGATCGTGACCGAGAAAATCACTGTCACTGCAAACCGTAGAATTCGTGTGTATTTAACGCCATAAACTATATTCACCATTGGAACCATTCAAATTTGAAATTCAAACCTAGATAAATGTAGAAAACCTCATTGACATTGGTTTTTGTTGTGTTTTAGGATTGGACGTTGCAGATAAAATACGTCCAACTGCGAGACGCCGGCCTATACGAGTGTCAAATATCGTCTCATCCGCCAAAAAGCATTTTCATCAACCTGAAAGTAGTCGGTAAGTGAAAACGTGGTTGGGTGTAATACTTAGATGGAGAGGAATAATAATATATCGACTTTGTACGTTAATTAGGGTAATTTTAATGCACATAATTCGATGTACAGTATTATGATTTGTTGCCGTTTAATCGTCATGTGCGCAGCTAAGCGATTCGGATTTAATTATGTGTGCGGCACAGACTAAACATATTATTTAATATAGTTAGCGATTATTAACTTCCATGTATAGCCATCGCGGCCGTCACTGCTAAACCGCATGCATTAACCCGCGTTCGTCAAATCGCATAAATCGTTAGACCAAAATAATTAACATCCCTCGGTTTGTACTAAACCCACACGGTCACGACAGCCCCCCACAAACGAATGGCTATGTTAACAGTTTATTAGCTGCTTTCGGTTCCTTAGCAATTTGTATATGGTACATAATATAATATTATGTCATCGATTTTAGTTTCGAAGCGTAGCTGCAAATAAATGTAATTTATTTCGAATTTTTTAATTTACAATTTTTATTTTTTTGACAAGCTCTTTCTAGTGAGCTTTGAATCAACTTTCTATTTTTTATAGTTGAAGAGAAAATTATAAAATATAGCGTATATTATATGGTATAACACACAGACTTTTTTCAAATTCAAATCATCATACCGCGTGGGTATGAAATCCGATTCACCTGACAGCTAATCCACCTTATAAGCTAAGACAAATATTTATCTTCTCGTTATTTATCTATACAATTTTTTTTAATTTCCTATTCACAACCAGCTCTTAAATTAATCGACATAATTTTTGTTTTCACTTCATTTGTCATACTTACAATACTTTTAACTTTTACTGGAAACCTTATGAGTGAATTGTGGGTCTCTCTAATCAAGTAATTGAAAAAATCATCCGTCACAAGTACCTGGGTCTAAGTAAATAATTAAATATAATTTTGTATTTTGCCTTTTTAAAATGTTCACGTTTGCTTATAATTAATGCATACAAACGACCCTCCATTCCACTTGGGTTTAACTTCGTGCACTGTTTAATTGTATCATTAAACTATCACAATTAGGTTGTTAGGTATAGAATAGTGTTCTCTGTCGGTATACGATTATGTTAAACTATATTTTCAACAAGGTATTTTTAACTCAGGTTTTCTTTTTTAAATTTTCGTTCATTTGGGCGTTAAACAATAAAAAAATTCTTAAAATATAGCTCAATGGTTTAACATAATCAGAATGAACGCTGGATGATGATGTTTATTCTACTGGACATCGAGAGTATAAAGTTCTGTGTGATAAGGCTGAATATTTTCATAGGGTTCTAACTAGGTAGATCAAAAAAGTGAGTTTCTTTGTACAGACCAATGAGTCTATTTCCAGTTTTAGCAATGTTGTTTGAAAAAAATGTTCTCAAAAGTCATTCAAACCCACTAATTTCACACTTAAGTTCTAATACAATTTCTGAAAATCCCCCTTGCCGCAGTTAGATTAAAATATAATGGTACACATATAAGATTCCTAAAATGTATTACCCGAATAAACTTGTAAACTATTTGTATTAGGGTTCTACCATGGGATAGTCTCCCTTATGAATATTGTTCATTTTGTATTGTAAACCTAAGTTTACCTGTTTACTTTTTGTGTAAGCAAATAGTACAGATTCTACTTATATATACGCTTGAAGAAAAAAGGCCTCTAACTTACTACACGGTATATTTAATTTAAAAAAACCCCTTTTGAAGAAAGTTCATTCGGTAAACACTATGCATGAGTAATAATTATTTTTTTTTTATTGACAACATCCCGTTTCATATTTCTACCGAGCTAGTACATTATAATATAATATTATTATTTACAAAGAAGATGCGACCCTCTATTAAGAATAACAAATAAATTTAATACGCTTTAAGTAATCGGCGAATGTCTAAGGAATACATTTCTCGCGTTGTCTTTGCCTCTTTTCCCCTCTTCATTTACATACCGTTTTGTAGGTATAGTATTATGTTTTCTTAAGAACATAATATATTTTATTTTGTATTTATCCTCGTGAATAATTAACTTGAGCATTTTTCATTTTAAAAACAGGTGAAAAATTAAAAAGCCAGTTAAGTGGGGTCGAGGCATAGTAGTTAAGACGGAGCATATTTGGGCGGGGTGAGGTGTCCCAGGTCTCCAGGAGTTATAATTACAACTTAAAGTAAAAAATCCAATTTTAAATAAACGCTTTGATGCTAATCTGTAGATGGCAGATATGCAAATTTCGATAACAAGCATTGTAAAGACAATGGTGATGGGCTTAAAATGGTATATATAGTATAGGGTGGATACGATTAGGGTTTATCGTTTGTTTACAATAATTTGTTGTTATCCATATATCAAAGCTGACACTGTTTAATTTCACTCACACATAGGAACTTAGACATTTTGTAAGGTCAAAGTGTACTTCCCCTTTTTTTCAATAAAATAAAAATATGAATACGGATTTTTAAGAAAATCGTATATTATTTTATAGCCCCAGTCTGGATTTACCTTCAGTCCTTTTAGAACTAAAGCCCTAAAGCTTCATCTAATAAAGCGAAATAAAGAAAAAGTTTTCACCTCATTTAGGGGAAGGGGGTTTTGATATTTTTTTAGTAAATCAACGATTATCGATAGCTATATGTTTAAATAATAGACTATACAAATTTAGAACTAGTTAAAATATATATTTTAAAACGTTATACAATGCCGCCATTTTATATTAAAAAATATGTTCATTTTTTCCTTGATTTTTATAGAGAGGGCTTAATTATTATAATTTTTTACTCAATAAAATACTTTTCAGGTACGAAATTTCTGAACCAAATACTTGTTTAATAAAGAAATCGGTTCGGTAAAAAATAGAAAAATATAAGTACATCGTTGTAAAAACCATTTTAACATTTCAATTAACAATAGTATAACTAAAGTGTTTTTTAAATATTTGTTGGATGTTGATAATTTATACCTGAAAATTAAATTCAACAGCAGAATGCGGTTTTACCGTTTATCCTGTAACTACACTAAATAAAGAATAGTTCCTACCTGTGCTATAAAATTATTTTCGAATTTTTTTAAAAAATGTATAGCTAGCCGTAATTTATGTTAAAAAATTGTACATTTTTTAAGTGTTTAGGCCCAATAAAGTACCTATTAGGTACGGCTTGTTACGACATTGATTTGCTACATGAAGGAATCAATCAGTTCAGCAGCTTAGAAAATATCGGTGATCCAGAAAAAAAAGAAATACTCAACAGACCTAACCTTATCAGCTTCGAAGCTAAAAATGTCAATTTAAAAGTCAATCTCTATGATGTGTGATAAACGCTTACAATTGAAAACTTAACAGCTGAACTCGGTGATATATTTCGTCGAACCGATTTCCTTGACTTGACAACGTTGAAGTTTTTATATGAATGTGTCTTTGATTTCACGTATATTGAATAAAGAGCACAGTACTTGGAAAACTTGGAACTGTTATTTCGAAAGGATCGAATTGGATTTTCTCTCTCTCTTTTTATCTAAAGAGCGTATAGCTCACTGTAAATGCACAGGAAGACGGGAATTACAATAAAAACTATTGCAATAATAATGTGTTTAAACAGGCAACGAGCCGAGGGGGGGGGGGGGGTGAGAGGGAGGCTGATTCGGCGAGGGCTTTTAATAACGGTCGGATATTGTGGAGAACCGGACTCGCATAAATCTGACAAAGAATGTAATACAACGGGTTTTTTTTTTTGGAAGGGACCGGCTGGCCGGACTCGAAGAGAAAAAAAAGTCCTAATAAAACTTTAAGGTGCCTTTTTTCGGTTTCTTATTATCATTATTATTATTTTTCTTTCTTTCTCGATACCGGTATTCTTGTTGTAGTAGTTTGACAATACGGTGGCTACGACCAAAACCCTCGAAAACTTCTATCGAGAACCCGAGGGTATCGTTTTTAATAACCGACCGTGGAGTAGACTCCGGAAACACCTGAATGTATTTTTACTACAGTTAGCCCTTTTTTCGCCAACTGTGAAAGTCGCCGGAAACTATAACAATAAACATTAATGGGCAATTTAAAAAAAAAATGTATTTATATAAAGTTATCGCTATTTAATGATCCCGGCAATAACTGACTTACAGCATATTTTGTAGTAAGAAAAAAAAATAAAATGTAATTTTTTTTTTCAAACCCGGTTGGGTTATATTCTTGTTATGATATAATATTTTACATTTTATTACTGAGTTAAAGGTTTACCGACATAGTTCATAGCTACAAATACAATAATTGTTTAACATGTACTTATTCTTAGATTATTTACTATAGCAGTTGATGATAATATTATTTTGTTTGTCTCCTCCCTATTTACAGTTAAATAAGATTTTTATTAGGTGAAGTTTTGGTTTAGCTACCAAAGTGTGGGTATGATTTTTAATTGAAGTCAGTGAAAGGCAATTTTTTGTGTTGTCAAATGTGTAGTCAGGCCTACTATTATCGTTTGATTTTTGCCGGGTCTCTCTTCGAATGTGGTGTAACTGTGTAAGAAATAATAATAATAATAATAGTAATATATTTCGCGGTTTCAGAGTAACGCTTCAAATGTTTAACGTTCAGATAAATCACTGTATCACTTACACACGGTAGGTGCCGAGATATTATATTTTGCTCTCGACAACCTGTTGACATTTATAATGATCCATCGCCAGCGTCTATCTCCTTTGTGTGACGTACACATCTTCACATATGTTTTATTCTTATATGATTTTGTTCGAAAGAACATTCGTATATTTACACTTTGCTCATACATAATGGATTTGGTCGTAGGTACTCCGTAGTGCTCCAAAAACGTACCCAACGCGAATAATTCAGAACAACCCTATTATTTCGGATGACACTTTAACGTGGAAAGAGTAGTTTGTACTTTGAAGTTTGATATCGATAAGATAAACACGAACGACTTGGTAGGTGTGCTTAACATAGGCTTTTTTTTTTTTTAATTTAAAAATCTACTTAAAATGTTTGTTAAACGGTATTCTCACTGTAAAACTTTTGTACTTTAATGGCGTTGCAAAAATAGTTGACGGAATTTAATAAAATCATAATTTATTTTTCTGAAAGTTCAAAAATAATAATTGTAACAAACTCTTGGTACTATAACTAATCTACTAAATTAAATCGGTTAATTGTACAACTCAGTCTTCTTCGTCTAAGCTCTACAATCCATAGTGGCCCTTGGCTTCCAAAACAATTCTTCTCCACTCGTCCCGTTTTTTAGTAGCAATTGTCCAGTTCCTTATGCCCATCTGTTGAAGATATTTCTTTATTTCATCCAGCCATCTCTCCTTGTCTTTTGGCTCTTTCCATTCTTGCAAGCATTACGCATTTCAGTATACAACTCGGTCTAGTTACTTGTAAGCTGAAGATTTTTGGGTTAAAATAGGTGTGCACCAGAGTTCTGTTTCAAGCGGTTTTCTGTTACAATGGTTAAAGTTAAAAAGGAGATACGGGGTGAGGTGCCTGATGGTGCATGATGACTGCAAATGATGTTGAGTAGTTTGGCAGGAGAAAACTAGAAAAAATTAACAATAGGCTTGAAGAGGTTAGTACTTGAAGGAAAGGTACTAAGGATTAGTAGTAGTAGAAAAAAATATAATATAGAGAATGAGTTTGGAAAAAGAGAACATGAGCGTACTGGACAAGACGAATAATAACAATAAACGGTGACGCGGTAGGCGAGTTTGAGAGAAGTACCAAAAGTATGATTTTGTATTTTAATCGTTAAACAATTTTTTTGTTTTTTATTTTAAATAATATTTACAATCTGTCTAAGTAAACAATTTCAAAAGTAATGTACAATGTGCAATAATAGTAAATACAATGTTTTATTCCATTCCGTTCAAACGCGTAAGAACCATTTGATTTTTTTAAATATTTTTATTGGCATACATTTTGTTACAAAAAAAAAAAAAATACACGTGGACGTGTTTCCTTTTTTTTTTTATTATTAAATTAAAATCGGCACGTTCAGTTGATTCAAACTTTACAATAAAGCTTTTCGCTGAACTTTCCAAATATTTATTTAGACAGATCGTCAACAATGTGGTCGAGTAAATAATATTATGTAAAATAATAATAGTTCTGCTGGTGAAAAATAAAAGAGCCATTATTAATGTCAAGAGATGGCATCCGTTTCGAATTGACACAGTTTCAAAGTGTCGGCACTTATCCCTGCCTTCATTTCAAGGTGTGGCGATGACGCTTTTTCAAGATAGACCCCCGGCCCCTGAAGGCAGCCATTATCAGCATTCCCATCTCTATTTTTCTAAATTAAAAATCTAAAAAAATCCAAAACAAAATCGCAGATATGTTTGTTTTTTTTTTTAATATATATATTCTAAGTGAAAAGACAATATTGCTTAGGACATAAAACCGTGTGTAAAATGTTACCGCATGTTTTTCTACGCTACAACGACATAAATAACAATATCATGTGTTATGGTTTACACGAAGAATTCAGTAGTTACTTTTGCTGTGAACAAAATGCCGTTATAGCTAAAGTATGCTTGAAATGACAATAGCATATTTTTTGTTTGTTTGAGGTGTTTCTGTTTTGTGTGTTCGAAGCAATGCGGTGATTAAACAACAACGACAACAGAAAAAAAAAATAGGCGGTTTAATAAAAAGAAACCGCGCGGACCACTTTGGTGTATTCTAGAGTACGTCTGCGGGGTTCTTAGAGCGAAAACTTGCCGCGAAAAGGCCCCAAGAATAAAAGTTCGCCAAGGACTCGAGCAAGAAAAGTAATAAATAAATAAAATGAAACCGAGTGTAAGTAGAAACGACGAGCACTCCTAAACCGTCGCGACTCCAGTGATACCCTTCGGCTCGTGTGCCGTAACTTTACCGGTTAATTCACTTGGTTGACTGTAAACTTTGGCCAACACGACCGCCGAACTTTCGGGTTTCTCCAGTTGTTATTGATTGTCGAAAGCCAGCGCAAACGAGTGGATGACACGGAGGGGGCTGCTTGACGTTAACAAACGACGTCAGTTTTATTGCGCGCACCGCGCTTGTTAATGATAATACTTTCACATATTATCGGCATAGTACATATTATGTCAATCAAACAATACGGCGTTTGCGTTTGTTTCAATTGTTACAGAAGCTCAAGCCGAGATCGCCGGTGCTTCCGAGAAGTATCTGATGCTGAACAGTCCGTTGCACTTGGAGTGCGTGGTCCGGCAGAGCCCGGTCGACCCGGTGTACATCTTCTGGTACCACGACAGCCGGATGATCAACTACGACATCGACCGAGGCGTCAACGTCACTACAGACTTGCCAAACAAGCACAGCGCCCTGTACATAGACCGTGCTTCCCGAGAGCACTCGGGCAACTACACTTGTGCGCCCAGCAACGCGTTCCCGGCAAACACAGTTATACACATACTGAACGGTTAGTAATAACTAATAACTTTTAAAGATTTTTTTCACATGAGAAAGTGTTGCAATGTCTCAGACATGCTATGGTTATCTCCACAAGATAATTGGTTTATTGTGCCCCAGTCAATACCTTAAATGGTATTAGACTTTTGCAAATTATGACTTTCCATATTTTTATAGTTATTATTCAGCACAAATTTGATCCTATGATTGATAAAACTCTATGAATTTAATATTTTTCTATGGTAACACATATTATAGTACCTCAACTTTTTCAATTAAGAATACTTTGCTGACAGATTTCAGTAGACGCGAAAAAAATATAATCATGGATATGTTTTTGGGCTTAGAAGACGAGAGAGCCTATCCTTCTTCCACTCTCCTCCGTTAACTTCTATTACCTATGTATATTATAATTCTTACCGTTATCAGTTTTCAACACAAAAGGGATGGGGTACAATTTTTGAAAAATATATTAGTATATTAATTTTGTAGTATTACTTAAAATTAGTATTGGCTTACATTATTATTTGAGTTTGAAAAGTTAATAGAGCTCAAGAAAAGACATTATAAAAATGATGAACATTTTAATATTCCAAGATAACACAAACTAAAGTGTCCGGAAAAATAAAAACTACAAAATTGTAATTATTTCCCAAGAAAACGATTTTGTTACGTTTAATAGATAATCCTGTATAAGAAATAATAATTTTAAAAAGTCTAATAATACTATTATCTTCCAAGATAATTAACTAGTCACCATGTAAAGCGTTGTAATTATTCAGCCATTATATTTCTATAGAGCACGTTGATATTTTCTATACTTAGCTTGTTTTTTTAATACTGGGTGATCTATCAGATGTAAGGCACAGTATTTTGAATTTTCATCAATCTGTCCGTTTGCAGGCATTACATCAGGGTGATCAGATAGATCAGTCTGTATTGGTAAAAAACAAAAAATCACATTTATTACAATTATTCTCAAAACACGGTTTGTCGTGACACGTATCGTTTTCATTGTGCTTGGCGCGAAACGTCCAAAGTGAATTTAATAAAACTTTTTTAAACGCATACGTCATGTGTGTAAGTCGGGTTGTTGTTTGAAATTAAATTTTTCGCACAAAACACTTTAGAACTGCGATAAGTTTGTAAAATAGTGGTCGTAACAATAAACCGGGTCGTTACTTTTTTGATATGAGACCTGAATGCGTAGGCGTGAAAGACAATGAACTCGGTATAGGGATGATTGGCTACACAAACGTGCATTTTAGATCCGTTTTATGGTTTATTTAGTTAAATTAATACGGGATGGGTGCAAAAGCATAACGCTGTAAAAACAATGTTTTTAACGGTGTGAGGATATCCAATTTTAAAAGCGCACAAAAGTTATATACCTACTTTTAAACTTTTCGCGTGAAAGCCACTGAAATCAGACGGTTTTTATGGAGTTTTATGTAGGCAATAATTAAGGAAAATCGGTTTTAATTCATTTCTGTCATTTTAATTTATCTATCTTCAGTTAAACTTGAATTTTTTTATAAGTAAAAGCCGTTTTTGTGATAAAAAAATGTCAGACTTTGGCCGGTCCAACTTATATTCTGAAAAAATATAAGAATTTGTTGGCCTCGTTATTGGATTATATCCACAAACCTACTTTCATTTAATCAATTTAGTTTTTGGTAATAAAAAAAAATATTAACTTTAAAGATTTTTTAATATTAAAACGCAATTCCTTTACATTGAAAAAGCAAAAAGTACAAAATCCATTTCAAACGTAACCTAGTAAAGTATTCAAAGAACTTGTATTTCTTCACAGAATTAATTTCGGACCGTCTTAAGTAATCAAAATGTTGTCAAATGTTTGTCGTTTCAATCCTGTTAAGCACTGTTACTTTATGCTTTTTCAAAGATAATTGAACGTCTTAATATATTTATTTAGAAGATGGTACACATTTTAAAACGGCTTGGCTGTTGTAGTTTTCTACACGATGATAGACCGTACTATAGTCTGTCTCACGAGAGAAAAGCACTTCGCAGAAAGCAGTTATGCGTTTTTGGTTTCTGCACAGTACCCTTTTCTCATGAGACAGAGTATAGTTGTAGTTTTGCCTAACGGCGCAAGAAATCGGCAGCACCCACCAGATTTACACTGTCAGTTTTGTTATAATTATAATACATAAATAATAAATACAATTGTTAGACATTTTGTACTAAGTTCAACCACAAACGCAAGTATTAAAGATTAAGTTTAGTCATAGTAAACAATCGAATAATCGATGTAATACTATTCAAACGAACCGTTCAAAACATTGTTGTGACAAAATACGATAATAATATTATTATGATTGCAACATTTCATTATTTTGAATACTTAATTTTTCGTTTAAAATAAATAACAAATAAAGTTTTTTTTTTCATTTTACCCACACTTAAGTTAAATTGACTCGCCAGAGGGGTGATTTTAAAGTGTACGGTTAAGTACGCGTATCGTTTGGAAGATGAAATTGCAATTTTCCTAAAAACAAAGCTTGTACCTACAGCGTGTTAAACATAATAGATGATTGCCTTATTACAAAAAAATATTGTTTGTATTTAAAATATTTCAAATAACACACTTATCCGGTTGGATAAGATCTAGAAACCGAAAAATTGGATACTCGCCACGTTAACCACGATTATGTTTCGCGACGACCAATTCTCATGTAAATTTTTCTTACAATATCCTTGTTTTTTTTCTCGACTTGAAAATTTATCGTCAAACCGTACAATATAATGGCTTTTCTCCTGAGCCCTCGGAGCGTCAATTGTATAAGTTTTGACCGGTATACTTAGGCGCCATAAAAAAAAATTGCCAGAGCTATTTTCGAACACAAATAATTCTTCCGGCAATGTCGTTAAGACCAGCACAATAGGGCCAGGGCGTAGCGAAGACTACAGAAACTATTATATTATTATAACCGAGAGTGATAAAGTCGCTCTCAAACTAAACGCTTCGATGCCCATCTATGTAGATGACACAAATATTAAACATAGTTAAAAATCATCGTAAAGACAACGATGTATTTAAAGTTGTATTTTCTGTAATAAAGTGGATATAGTCAGGTCTGTCTTTCCCAATATAGCATTGCCGCCGTGATAAAATAATGAAAATATTTTTCAGACACTCGTTTACTGCTGATTTCAAACGATCAAAGTGTAATTCCCCTCTTTTTTTTTTGTTTTCATTGATAAGAGTTTGACTACACATTCTGAACAAATTGTATAATATTATCTTATAGCCTCATCCTAGATTCTAACTCCAGTCTAATTTCCGGACCTTAAACTTTAAAATTAGGTCTGAACAAGTAAAAAAATGACAACATTTTTGACACAACTACATATAGAGGCCGGCATACTTAACTCACCAAGTTTTCATAGAAAAATAGTGGGGAAAATTATCCGTGCTTGTGCTTAGCTTGTTTGATAGATTGAATACATTTTTAGAGTTTAGATTTTTTTGTTTTAAATCCTTAATATGTAGTTGATTTTAATTACCGCTTAAGCACAGATAAAGTTCTCTTCTATGTACTGCGAAGATTTAGTAATTTTACAACAGTTCCAAGACATTTTGGTTTGGATTGAAGAAAATTGTAATTTTTTCTATAGAAATGACCGCTGAGAGTCTGCCACACAAATGATTAATTTCAAATTGTTTAGACTTTGTGGGAAAAAAATGGTCTACGCTTTACTGCCAAATAAAATACGACAGTGAGTAGATTCGCCTCGAACGTTTTCTGTGTTGAAAGTACCTAAAAGCTTTTGCCGTATGAGTTGATTAAAAATTATTATTCCAGACTCGCGAGGGAAAGGATTGGCACGACTACCCTTTTTTTTCACCGGGTCTTTCATAACAATATAACATTATAGATAATCTACTCCGTTTTTACCTGCAACGCCGGGGCTATTGGTAAACGATACGTGGACCTGCACCGGGAAGACTGCAAGCCAAATCTGTTTGGCGTGTGACTGATGGGGTTAGGCGGATGGATTGCTCGAGGTGTACGCAGGCCGGGAAAAGGGCGGGCGACGTGTTCGGAATGGATGGCATTGATAAATGAACCCCAGGCTGTTTGTTCGAGCAAGCAGCACACCACACACACACACACACACACATACAAATCTATTTCTTCCTTTTATGTACAAACATACACACACACACGCACACAAATAAGCGTCGTACTCGCTGAAGTAACCTTAGAAAATCTCTACTTTTCTACCGCTCTCAAAGTTCATAGTATACGTGCGTACAGGGTGATTTCACGAAGGACCACGCACTAATAATTATCTCTTAAAATAATTACATACTTGCAGTATTTCTACTCGGAGACACTTTGGCATTTCGGATTTTCTTATTATATTTTTAAATAATAATAGTTTATGAACTGCGTAAATAATATTATGTAATTTGCCGAAAGCGTTGACTGGTCTATAGCCGATTTCGGATAGTTACTTAGTCGCTAAAGCTTAAAATTCACAACGGCAAGTGGAGTGCGATAGAGTAATGCGAGCAGATCAGAATAATACTACACTTCAACTTTGAAAGTAATTATACAAAACTGCCCATTGATCAGACAAAGTTTCTAATAAATTACACATCATAACATACACTACTGTTTGAGTGTCATAACTTCACAGAGCTGTGAAACATACTAACAAATATTGATATTTAGTATTTTTATATCATAAACAAAAATGTTTTCAAAATTACAATAGATTAAAAAAAAATGAGAGTTGTCCAGAAAGAGCAATTTTTCACAGCAACTGAACATTAAATTAACTTCTATGACGCGTATAGGCCTTGTTTTTTTTACAAAAAACACAGTATCATGTTTGTACTTCAAACAATTCGTTTCTAAAATCACTTCAGTTTAGAAAAAAAAAACTTTTGGTTTCTTCAAAGCGTTTACAAGGCATCGATCGAGATGGAATTTTAAAATTGTTTTTAGTTAATTAACACAATTTTCTGTGTGAAAA